CTACTCTTCTGTGCTCTCCATGCCTCTACTTCCTGACTGAAACCAAAATGTCCTATCGCTGGACAGTAAAGTAAACCTTTGGGTTTGAACTGTCTTCCTGGGGGTACCCCAAGTTTCACACATTCTATGTTGGGTACAGCCAAGGCTAGCCACACAGTGCCTGGGAGCCTGACTCCTGGCAAAGTGCAAACTGTAGCAAGTCTGGTTTCTTAGAAACACAGCTGGGATATAAGAGAGGGTTGAAGATGCAGAGAAGATCCAAGTTCCAAAGACAGCATTTACTCCCGGATGTCCTTCTCCTCCGGCCATGCTTTACACGAATGAGTTAATCGACTGACATTCCGTCACTTGCCTCCTAGCCAGCGTCCATGGCTGACTCTCACTTCAGGGACATTTTCTAAAGGAAAAGAAACTGTCCTGCTGGCACTGTTGTTTCTAATCTCAAGAGTCACATGGTGAGATGCGGTGTGGCGAGGCCCTGGCCCTCCATGCCTGGCTGTGCTCTACATTGTGGTTTTGGACTTTTAAGATTGCCATTCTGCTGCCAAAGACGCTGCAGTAATGAGCACCGATGGTCACTGGATAAGAAAACTTCTTTTCGGGTTGCTGGCATGACTTCTTGCCACTGATGGGCACTGCCTCACTGTGAGCCAGGCTGTGTTTCTCTTAGCATCCCTCTCCCCCCCAACCCTGGGTCACCCAAGCCTGACTTGGACAGTGTCCAGATTGTGGGGCTCTGAGCATCCCTGGGGGCCATTCGAGAACTCCCTAGGGAAATCTCTAGGCACACAGCTCAGTGTCTAGAAGTCATGAGAGCATGAAATGTAACACGGGCTTTACTGAAAGCAACTGCAAATCTTAAGAAAGAATACAAACAGCTTAAAATCAGGTTGTGGGGAAACAACCTACACAAGCTCCACCCTCCCTGGAGGAAGCAAAGCTCAAAGGCCTGCTTCTGCCTGCTCCTGGGAACAACTGGCCTGGGTATGCTGGGTTTGCATCTGTCCCTGGCATGCACCCTAGCTCCACTCTGGATCACAAGTGACCTATGGGTGATATAAGAGCAGCCTCTGGGCTGGAGAGAACCCCACCAGGGAGGGGAGAGTGTGCCACTTCCCTCCCTCACTCACATCACACATGTTGTCATGCTATCCTCTGCAGTCTCAGACCAGCAATGTCCACCTCAGTACCCACCCAACACACACAGACACACATGCATGTACATACACATACAAACACACACAGACACATACACACAAACACACACACACGCACACACACACACACACATGCATGTACACATACATACACACACACAGACACATACACACAGACATACACACACACACACAGTATTTGGAATGAACTAGGGAGGCCTTCCCAACCCAGCACTCTCATGGCTAAGTAGCATTTGATAATAAAAACTCTGGCTCCTAGGACCTGTTTCCAACTACCACTCAAAGTGGTAACAGACCATCCAGAAACAGCATCAAAGGATTCTCCAAAGCTGACTCGGAACCCAGAGCAGGAAGGCCCTCGGCCATCATCTGCTCCCTACATTTTTAAGCAGAACTGGGAACAAGGAAGAGTCATGCCAGATGCTGAGGGGCAGGCAGGGGATTTGCCATCCCCGCACCACCACACTCACTAGCCACCTGACAATGCCTGCTTCGCATGGTGAGCTTTGAAATGGCTTTTCTTCTTGTTGTTGTTTTTTCAGAAATAGATTTTTCTGAAGATTAAGTTAGATTCAGTTTGATCAGCCCAGTCAGCTAGTGAAAAAGCACTGAAGACATACTGGCCAGCCAGGTGGCCACTGAGTGACATGGATCTAAGTGCCCTTGATCTACAATGAAACTGTAAAAGGTTTGCATTCATGGTCTCGCCAACAGGCCACCTAGTGCCGGAGCTGGGTAACATCTGTACTTCTGTGTCCAGATGTCTACGAAGAAAGGCCTTTGAGGGTTGCTGACCCCAAGGTAGTATACGGGTAGTTGGTATGCCAAGCAGAGCATAGTCGCCAGCTGGGAGCTGAGGACTGTGGCCATTTCAACACCACTCTCAGAAGCTGAGCGACACTAGGACTGTCCAAGCTGTTCCTATCCTCACAGATAGTCCTCTGAAGGAAGCCCCTGGATCACAGGTGGTGCAAGCAAGGCTAGTTCTTCTGAGATGCTGCCACCTCAAGCAGCCTTCTGGGAATATTTGCAGAGGCCACCCAGGCTACCCAGATCTGCCCTGGTTGCCAGTGAGGCCTTCAGTCCACATGCCTCATTTACTTGAATGGTTCAGAGGTAATTGTTGCTACCTCAAGTTCACTTCACACTTGTTGAGAGCCGACTCTGGGGCGCCAATTTGTAGCGAGCCGTTCTGCTGCTCCGGTCCGCGGGTCAGGGAGCAAGAGAGAGAGTGGGGACAGGGACGCAAAGAATGGACACAAGACGAAGTCTGGTCAAAGACGAAGTCTGCCTGCAGGAGACGGAGTCTAAGTCTGTCTGCTCTCTGTCGGGTCTGTCTAGTCAAAGTCTGTCTGGAGACGAAGTTTGTCTGCTCTGACTAGTCTGTCTGCTCTCTTCCTCTGCCTCTCCGTCAAGTCTGTCTAGCTCTCCGTCAAGTCTGTCTAGCTCTCTGTCGAGTCTGACTAGCTCTGACTCTGGGTCTGCCCTGGCCTCTCCTTTTATATCTCTCCTGAGTCAATCAAGTGCTGGGACTAAAGTGCTACCACTGCCTGACCTTCACTGAAGGGATCAAGATAATTATCAGAGTGTGTTCAGCTGTTGTAAACAAGTCTCTTGTCAGGGTATATGGCTCAAGATGGCTGCAAAGACAATAGCCGCTTTCGGCTCAGAGTCGGCTCCCAACACACACTGGACATCCCAGGCCTGGGTTCAGTCCTTGCACCAGGCCCATCTCAAGCTCCATGGTGCTTAGTTGTGGCTGGGAAGCCCAGGCCAGGGCTGAGCATCGTGAAGACCTGGCCATGCTGAGGCTGTGTATACTGAGAAGACTCCAGAGGAGTCAAGACAAGATTGAAGGAAAGAGTGACGAGACCTACTGGAGGCTAGCATGTGTCGGGAACACAGCCCATCTTCACGCTCCCAGACCAAAGTCGGCGCATCCAAGCAGAGATGACCTTGCCCTACCTGTGATTCAGGGGCTTCCTGTGGAGGAAAGATGGGGCAAACCACGAGGGATGAGTGGCCCAGGAAGCTCCAGTTCTTAGGGGAAGAAACTCCAGCAAAGAGGAGCAATCGGGCCTGATTCCAAGTTTGTAGATCATCAGAAATCACCTCTGTATGCAGCAAAACAAAACAGCAGCGTGGGGCCAGCCTGCTTGGTAGCTGGCTGCCAGCTTGCCTTGAACCATAGCCTAGGCAAGCCATTCACCTCCTAGAGACACAGTGGCCATAGTGGATCCACCCAGTGGAGCAGGGTACAGACTCCATGTTCTCCAGTCTGACTGTCAAGGCAAAGGGTTTGGCCGTTGAAGCTGCCTAAGGTACCGTCTGCCCTTATTCTCACCGTATGTGGATCTGTCCTCTACTTTGAACGCTAAGGGAAGGTGAGGAGAAACCTCTGTTGTGAGATCAAATTCAGCTCCTTGGGAAGGAAGAGGCCTAACTAGACCATCATGCCTTAGGAACCACAAGACCCTTGCCTACAGGTTTCAAGAAAGCTACCCAGAGGCCCTCGAGTCAGTTGGACTGCACCTCTGTGTCAATGCTATAGATACTTGTGTGTGCTTTTCTGTAAATTGGTGTCTATGTGGCCGTGTGTGTGTGTGTGTGTGTGTGTGTGTGTGTGTGTGTGCTGTCAGGATTGTAACGCTATTCCCACACTGATGAATGCCCACAAATGACAGCCTGGATAGAGACTGCCCTTGACCTGCCTGGCCAGGTCAGACGGGTCAGTAAGAGGTGGCAGTAGCTCTCCAGCTCTGCCCAGTGAGAAGGTCACTTAGATGTGGTGCCCTGAGTCCCTTCTGGAGGGAGAGGGTTACATGCAGGAGCTTGCATGTGGTCTGGGTGCCCACTCACTTCAGGGTGCTCCAAAGAGTGGAGCAGTCACCATACCCTTAGACAAGACAGCCTGCACCCTAGGCCAGAAGCTCCTGTACAGCTGGAGAAGCTGAAGTCAGAACTACCAGGCCTTGTCCCCAAAAGCACAGCTCCCCTCGGTGAGGCTGAAAGCCCCCATCCTCCCACCATCCAGGGATTAGCAAGGCAAGCCTGGGAGAAGTCAGAAAGGCTTATGGTCTCCGTGCACGTGAGCCCATACCAGGAATGAATCATATCATTATGGCAGGATTAGAAGTAAAATGCCATTAGAAAGTGCTGTGCACGCCCTCCTTTAATAAGGTCAGCAGCAGCGAGCAGCAGGAGGGCCAGGGCACGAGGCTGTAAAGCCCCACGCCTCCTCCCACCCACAGGAGAGGCCCAGGGAGACAGCACTCGGCCGCCAGTGCAGCTGACATCCACAGGGAAACAAATGCTCTTTATGCCAGGGCAACCCAGGCTCAGCCCTTTCCCCCAAACCTGCTAGGAACTCTTTCCCAAATCTCCCTCACCAGGAACCCCTAACACTACTCCCTCCCCCAGAGTTCCATACTCTAACCCTGCCTGTGCTTGGAAGGAACGGAGAGTCAATCGATTGCACTTCACAAAAAATTCATGTGCTATTAATCTGCTGGGTTCCCTTATGGTGATGTCCAGGTCTGTGCCTCCATTATCCATCCCTGCACAGATATCAGGAGAATCTCACTGCGTGCTCTGCCTGCATGTACTGCAGTTGCCTGCGAGCTCTTTGAGGGAGGGAGGAGGTCTCCATCCCCTGCCATCCGCTGCCATCCCCTGCCATCTCCTGGCATATGGGAAGGCCACAGAGAAGGCAACCCCGGGAAGATGTGTATATAGACTCTTCTCCACACCAGCCAGCTTTCCCTCCTTGTAGCTTCATCAAGAGCCACCCAGGGAACAAGACAGATGAGGGCAGATACTCACAGTTCCAGGGACCTGGAGAGGATGGCAGACAGGGTGAGCAGAATACAACCGTAGGGTCCCGCCTCGAACTGAGGGAGGAGGAAAAAGGACCTGTCAAATATACATCTCCACTCTCAAGCCACTTGTGCAACCATACCCAGAGCACAGTCTGCCAGGGTCATGACTTCATGGCTTATAGCCCAGGCATGAAAGTTAGCAAGTAGCCATAGAGAGCATATCCTAGGCACATCTGGACAGAGGAACAAGGAACGGAGCCCCAAAACCTAGGTGACAGAAATACCACTATAGAGCCCATGCATGACCCCAGAGGCACCAAAGTCAGAAGTGACAGTGGTGACACATCCCATTCTGGGACCCTGTGCCTCTGACCCTGACAGGAGGAGCTGAGCTCTGCTGTTGTTACCCTCTGTCAGAGAACGAGACCGCCCAGCTCCTGGGTAACACACTGGAGACCTAAGGGTGCTCTGCTCGACATAGCTTATACAGAAGAACTAAGCTATGTGGTCAGCAAGTACACAACAGACATAGAACAGGCATGGCCTCCGCTGGAAGCCAGTAAGTGCCCACCTTTGCTACAAATATACTATTTTAAAGGGGTTTTTAAATACCCAGTTTTGATTAGCTGGTCATCTTGGGTTTGATTTGTCTGGTATTAAAATGTTGCTGATGCTGCATCTGGTCTATTTTGCATCTCAGTCAGCCCCGCCTGGCTGTGTGGCTCTGCCATTCTGAGCCTGCCACATGATCGTAGAGATGTTTCTGAACTTCCTGGTCCCGACCCCCTTTTCTCCACTGTAAAATACAGGCAAAGTAGGGGTTTCTGCTTACAGCAGGTTGTAAACCACTTACAGCAGGGCCTGCCTGACACCCACAGCAGCTATGGTCCACTACGGTTCAGCACAGGGCCTGTTGGCACTCGTTCTGGCTCTGGTATACTGTGGTTTGGTTTGGGTTTTGGCAAATTGACACAAGCTAGAGAGTTACCCAGTGAGAAAGTGCCCCCACCGGTTTGCCTGTAGGTAAGTCTGTAGGACATTTTCTTGACTAATGATTGATGATATATTTTATTAGTATCTCTTGGAAGCTTGTTCTGTTCTAATGAGAGACAGAGAGGGAGTGGATGCAGATGGAAGGACAGGTGGGAGGAGTTGTAAACTAAAATGAACCCTTTCCTTCCCAAATTGTTGTCGGTCATGGTTTTATCAAAGCAATAGAAACCCCAACTCAAACAATAGTCTACAGAAACAGTCAATAGCTCCCAGCCCCAAGCCAGTGTGAAATTTAGCTCGTCCCACTTTGGGCATGCTGAGCTGTGTTTGGAGATAGTCATAATAGTGCTCCTTGTATGCCAACGATAACTTTTGGACTTAAAGCTAAAAGGAGACAAGGCTATTTTGATAAACATGATGTAACGGAGTACATTTCCGTTTTTTCCTTGGCCACCAAGAAACTCAGAATCAAATATAGTACTCCAGTTCGGAAACTATTACAGCTCAAGGTTCTAATAAAATCATCTTTCCTTTAAAGCGCAGTCTTTGTCTCCACCCTGTAACTCAAACAGGCAGTTAACTGATCATAAAAACATAATAGCGAGCGAAGCTCCAGTACCAAGAGCCTGTTCCTCTAGGCACAGGAGTGACATCTGGGATCTCTGCACTGGCAGGCTGAGAGAAACGAAGACTCGGGCCCACTGTGGGCTGTAAATGAGTGTGAGGCCAACCTGGGCTACAGAGAGACCCTCTTTGAAAAATAAACAGTACAAGAGGCTGGCCACTACAAATGGGTAGTACCTGAGAAGCAGGTGAGTGTGTCTGCTTGGTGGGGTGACTCGAAAAGAAAAAAGAACCTAAAAAGTGTGGAGAGCGGCTTGGCCAGAACAGCGTGGCAAGCTCCTCTGAAAACACGCGGCAGCCTCGTAGGAAGCTGAGTATGGACAAGGAGAGGCTCAGACAGGGTTTGCTGGACATGTGATGTTTAAGAGATGTGACCACGTTTCGGGCAAGGAAAGCGAGTGTAATGGCCCATAGGCTGGCCTGAGGAGACCAGAGAGCCCTGAAAACACTGCTCATTTTATGAACGATCTCAAGTCTTACTGTAGCAACAAAATAAATGAATGAGCCTCAAATTAAATGAATCAACCTCATCTAAAACCTGTGACCTCAAACCAGACACTTGGTGCTGGGGCTTCTTCAATGAAAAACAATGATTACTAGGACCCTGCCTTGCATACTTCCCAGGTCATTTATTGTGCACATTCTCAAGAGACAACTCCTGGGGAAGTGACAGCTGCAGAGGGATGTTCCTGCCTCCCCCCCCCAGTGACCCATGCCTGCGGAGTGTGGGTGGTAGATCCTGTGTGCAGCTTTAATGCCACCTTGTAGTTGCCTTGGGGAGTCACCAAGCTCTACCCGTCTCCCCTTTGGCTATGGCCTTACTCTCTGTCTAGGGGAAGCCTCAGCTTTGGGATCGGTCTCCCTGGCCAAGCCCGAGGAGCCTGTCGCCCTGCGGGGCTGTGGTATAGCTGTGAACATTCGAGCCACTGAAGCAGAAATCACCATGCACAGTGGGAAGCTGTTACTGGGCAGTGTGGTGTGGTTCAAGTCTTCAGGATACCTCAGACAGTGCTTGCTTTGGGCCCCCAGGGAGTAGAAAACCCAACCCAACTTGGCCAGTTCTGCCCTCTTAGGACACAGCTGAATGGTACCAGTATTCCATCTTGCTTTCAAAAAAATATTTATTAAAATTATCTCATCAAATTCAAGCTGCCAAGACATGGGAGGCCTCAGGGCATCACTGACGGTATGAAAGGTAACCTGGGCTGGAAACTGTGGCTCGGGCTGAGAACAATGTCTGGTGCCACCTGGGAAGAAAGAACCATTCTCCCAGCACAGCTTCAGCCCTGGGAAGACATGAGCCCACTGTGGTATTCCAAAGGAATTCCTTGTCCAGCTGGCTTGGGGCCACCAGACACCTCTCAAGTGGTGAGCCGCAACGAAGGCAGCATGGAGGCTGTTTATTTGGGGCAGTGGTGGCATGCATTTCCAAGCCTGGCATGAGGAGCCTCTCTTAAGCACAGCCCATGAAAAATGGATTTGGTGTGTTTAGTGCTGAGGCAGCCCAACTGCTTCCAGCAAAAACAGAAATTACGCTGTGGGGGAAAAGACTGTTTCCAGAGGAACGGGGGTATTAGCTAGCCCAGCTGCCCAGAGGAACCATAGACATCGAGGAGGCATATCGAGAGCCCAAAGGCTACACTGAGGGACCCTCACTGAGAGCAGGCCCTCCTCTCTGAACTCCCTCATGGTTTCTGTCTTGTACAAGCTTCGTAGAAATCCCAGGGCACAGGCTGAGGCACAAGACCCCACTTGCTATCCTAACCAAGATGACACTTGCAGGCAAGGATACAGAAGCCCTAGTGCCAAGGGTCACCATCACAGGGGCAGTGACCTGCCCCCAAAGCCTTTCCTTGACTGCACTATGGCCACTTCTCAGTCCTCAACCCCTTTCCTTCCATGGCTAGGGCCGCTCCATGTTCCATCTGCCTCAGGGGACCACCTTCCATGGGCACCCCTCAGGAACACTGCTGTGCCCTCAGACACTTCATTCAATAGGCAGCCCTGGTTCTATTCACTCGGAGTGCCTGTACTTCATTCGGAACACATTTTCCCACAGGAGCTCAAGAGTCTTCGCTGGTCTAGAAGCTGTTCAACTGCTCCAGCTTCCATTTCTAGATGGGGGTTCAAAAGTGCTTTCCCAAGGCTAGGGCCACATGCAGCCAGCAGGTCCCTAGGCCCTTGCTTCCAGCCTTCTCCTTGCTCTCAGCAAGGGTGGGAAACTGCCACACACCCTGCAGATACCCTGCAGGGTTAGTCCAAGAAAAAAATAGAAGTAGAGATGGCACAAGTGAGAGACAGCTATTCAAGGACCCTCTTGACATGTCAACCCCTCTGCCTAGACCCGAGGAAGCTATCCTAACCAAGATGACAGTGCAGGCTCCAGCTCTCCTGGGCTGCCTCAGAATGGAAAGCAACAGATCTAGGACTGACGGGCTTCAGTGGGGCCAGTGCCCCATGACCATGCCTGTCTTCCGTTAGTCTCAGTGTGGGACTGTTTCCTTCCCAGGGAGCATCTGGTGCTGTCAGGGTCGGGATGCTTCTGGGGCTGTGCTAAGATCCACAGGATCTTCAGGGGAAAGTGCTGAGACAGGGCATCTAACAGGACTTCAGGTCAGGTCCCACCTCCAGCTAATTCTCCCTCTCTAGGCTCACTACTCGACCCCCAGAGCATTTCCTGACCCTCATAGAGCAGGTATACTCCAAAAAGGACTTCCTCCTTCTTTATATGCCTGTACCATGAAGCTAGGCCTCATGAACAATCTGTGAGGCAGGCATGGCTGTTGTCCAGGCATGACAGGTGAGGTAACTGAGGTACAAAGCTTCAGGATGAAACCTGAGTCTCACAGCCACTCAGATCCAACGCCAGGCTGACTACTCTATGAGCCAAGTCCTTTGCCCCTAGAATGGAGGACATCTCCACACACCCTATGGAGCCTTATCCCACTGCGGATCACAAAAGCCCTAGGTCTTCCCCTGTCCAACCTGGCCATAGGCCATGAGCCACTCTCAGGACCAACAGTGAAGTGCAACCCTCCTTGAGCAAAGCAGGTAATGTAAGGTCTTGCATGGTTCAGCCCACCTCTCTGGACACTGGTGAGGTCCTGTGCCAAGCAGGGTCTCCTCCAGTCCCACCGAGAGAACTGCTTTCTCATCACCTCCCAGCTTGTCCTAGAACTCTCCCTGTTGATTCAGAGTCCAGCCTTCCAGACTGGCTGCTTACTTCAGCAGAGGGAAAGCCCTAGGAAGCCAAGCCTCAACTTGGCTTCTAATCCCAGATGAATCCCAGTTACTATGGCGCCCTAGGCCCTGTGATCACTACCAGCCTTCGGGGAAGTCATAGAAACTGTGTCTCCTACCCACATCCACACCCACACGTCTCTGAACTACCTCAGCATGTTCTGCTCAGTTTCTTTGCCAACCCCTGGGTGGAGATGACCAGAGCCCTACTCTACCTACCACCCTCTTCATAAAAGAATTAGGACGTTTAGCAATGTTCATACCACCAAAGAAATGGCTGCTCATACCTGATGGACACTCTGCTGGAGAAAAGTCACCAGGTCCTCAGAGCTGGTCAAACTATACAATGTGAGCTGTGAAGAAACATACACAGAGTGAGCCACATGTCCCCAGGGACTGTGCCCCATGAAGGGTCAGGCCCTGGCTTTACTACAAACTGCCCAGCACTGCTGGGTGAGTTACAGGTTACTCCTCCTATAAAGTCCCCATACTCCCCCGACACGGTACACAGGGATCACGCTCCCTGTGTGCAAGGGTAAAACAAGGAATAGGAGAGGCCAGGAAGAATCACTTCTCCATGTCACCATGGTCAAGCCAGGTCAACCCCAACAAGCTTTTCTCAAGCTAGTCAGGAAAAAACACATTTCCAGAAAACATTAATCAAGCAAGGGCCTGAATGAGGGTTCAAGGGTCACATGTGCGTATGGCTGGATTGTAGGAAACAAATTGGCTGAAACAAATAGTGAAGGCATATCAGGTTTTGGATCTCTTTACCATGTTTGCATTTTCAATATCTTTCCTATTTCTTCCCTGACTTTCACTTAGGCTGGGCCTATGGTTGCTGCCCCATACTATCAACTTCTCCTCCCCCACTTTCTATATTATGGCGCCTCTCCCCATCCACATGAATGCTAGAAAAGATACTAAAGATCTGGGAGAGGCAGAAGGTCAGCACAGCAAGGAACACTGCAGACAGGTATCTCTATACCTCACACATGGCGGGTGATGAGGGGACACACTGGGCCTCTCAGCCATTGAACTAGCTCTGACAAGCCAAACCACACCAAACAACAAAGCCACCCAGCTCTCCTCCACCCCCAAAGGGCAAGATTCTGGGGGCCTGGGCTGCAGGGATGGCCAGCCAGCCCCAGCTGGGGGAGGATTTACTTATATGAAAGGAGATAGTCCCCAAACAAAGCCAAAGGTGGCACGATAGTTTTCCAGAAAGTCGTACTGTTTCTAAGACTCCGTCTGCTTTGTATTTCCCTGTTGGACTGAAGTGCGGTGTTCCTGAAGCCCTAAAAAGGAAAAGAAGGTGCATAAGTCCTCTACCAGAGGAAAAGGCTGGCCCTCCAGACAGCAAGACCACATGTGCCATGTAATAAATGCCAACAGGAGTGACAGCTCCACAGAGGATTTTGTCGTTTTTCCTGCTATGAACTCACCCACAAGTCCAGGGCATGGAAAAAGAGAGTGGTGGGTGAGCTTGGAACAACCACGCCTATGTCTGGAAGGAGGAAGCCTGACTCTCTCTCCCTTACAGTTGGCAAACACATCTGCAGAGGAAGGACTGCGGGCTTGCCACTGTCTTCATTCAGGGCAAGGATTCCAGCCATTCTCTTAGAAGCCTCCCCACCCACGGAGACTCCCCCAGCAACAAAAATGGGAGTGTAGCCCAGGGCAGCCCTGACTAACAGTAGGATTTGGGTGTGGGGCCCATTTGCCACCAGCTTCTATGTGGCCTGGGACACATCATCTTTCTTCTCTGGGCTTCTGTTCCATAAGCTCTTGAACACCCTGTCCTTAGAGCTGCCAAATAGACAGGTGCCAGGGCTAATCAGTTACCTGGCATAGGGTATCAAAGGCAGGAGGCAGTAGCCGACAGCCCAACCCACAACTGATGTGATGCCCAAATACTGCCGAAAGCATATCACATTTATCATCCACCACCTATTACATTAATAAATGATTCATGCTGATAATGTTATTATATCTAATACGTATCATTTATTTATACTCATTTAGTTCTCATAACCATTAAGTCTTCATTATTATCACCCCATTTTCTACACATATCAACAAATGAGGCATAGGGAAGTGAGGTCAGGTCTCAAGGTTCCACATCTAACAAGCAACGGCTTTGAGGGTCTGCCTCAGAGAGCCCCCTTTCTTAAGCACTATACTAAAGTCAGCAAACTGATTCCCAAACCACTTCCTTCCCCAACGCTTAGCCACAGAGCTAGGCGGTGATGATTCTACCCTAGCGGTGAGGCTGAAGATGCAGAAGATGACCTGTAGGACTGCAGGGCAGGATGGAGGTGTCTGGGACGAGCTGATGGTGGTCGTGGTAACAGACTCCAGGGCTAGGCTACGGCCAGGACAGCCTCAGCCAGCAGCTAGACCAGGACAAGTTGGGGGTTAAATAGGACATGGCCCCCAGAACCACTTACAGTGCAACCACAGCTTGCTCTTTGCCTCCAGCTCGCCACAGGATGTCGGCAATGGCCAGAGCAAGGCAGCGAGTCCTCTGGGCGTCTGAGGGCTGCAGCCGGCTGATGAGAAAGGGAACATGTTTAGGTTTACGAAGACACAGAGGAACACAGGCGCAACCTATGGTATGTGTCTAGGTGGCTCCTCCACACAGTCCCATCAGCTGGGGGCAGATGAGAACACAAGTGACCAGAAGCCAGGTCCCTGGGTGGCCTTAGGGATGCTACCATGCTGCCAACTGAAACCAGTTTGTGGCTCGCAGCAATGGCCTCTCTGTGATGGGGACTGGCCCGCTGCAGACCTCTGAGCTCCAGATACATGTAAATCCTTTGAGAAGCTGCGAGATTCATGGAAAGCATAGGACAAAGTGGGGCTGGCAGAGATTTCCTAGAGAAAAGGCCACTAGGATGGACCTTTGGGATGGGGTGGCACAGGAGAAGAAGGTCAGAGAGCATGGCAGGACACAGAGCAGCAACATGTAGGCACAGGGTAGCTTTGGGAAGCTCCACCAGGCACCACATCTAAAGCTGCTGAGCCATTCTGCAATAAAAATGGTGACTAAGAGGTTCCTGGGCCACATCAAGAATAAGGGGGAGGAAAGCAGTGGCCAAATATAGCCATTTCTTTCCACTTGACATTTCCAGGGCTCCTTCGTGTTATGCTCCTTGGCTTCCCCCTCTGTGCTCTGTGGATCTCCCCTACATTCTTGCAGAGGCTGGCTTGAGTCTCTTCCTAGCCAACAAGATGAAGACCTGCTGGGGGTAGGGCAAAGGAATGCACACAGGGGAGCTCCAGGTTTTCTCTCACCAAAAAACGCCTCCCCATCACACTGAGACGTATGCCGGATTGAATGCCGGAATCTACCCACATGCGCGCACACTCGGCCAGGGCAAGAGGAAAGAAACCAGGACACCAGTAAATAGCTATCATAGTGGGACACAGAGCCATGCATCCACACCCAGGCTGTTATTTAAAATTAGAACCTAATTACTTTAAAATAAAATGTTAACAAGATGCAGTGATGCCTCAGTTTCTCCATTGGGAAACTGAAAATGACAGTGAACTCTCCTCAGTGTTGGGAGCCTGAGACAAGACATTTCAAATGAGCCCCGTCCCTGATGCGTGGGGAGTTTTCAGTCACTGGTTCCAACACAACAGTCACCACATGGAGCACATCCACAGACAGGGGTTCACCCGACACCTATTCACATGGAGCTCCTGGCACTGACAAGGCTGCAAAGGCAGAAGAATGAGCAATGAAGCTCTGCCTGGAAGAAAATAAGCCAGTGACCGCCTAATGCCTCCTCAGACTCAGGAAGCCTGCCATATTCCTCACAGGAAATAGGGACCATCTCATCGCCAAACCGGATGGCCTAAGCCGTTAGGAACACCAACCCAGGTCGCTCAGCACTTGCTAGGAAAATAACATTGAAAAAAAATTTTTTTCTAGGTTTCAGGAGAGGCCATGCCAGGGACAAAGAGGCCTGAGTGGCTGAGATGGCTTGGATGTTTACTCTTTGGATTCAGAAGCTACAAGCAGGTGTTGTGGGCCCTGCGTCTCGTGGCTGCTTGCCTCACCTACACTTCACTGAACAGCTACAGTCATTCTCCTCCCACTGTGAGTTTTAGTCTCTCCTAGACCCCCTCTGGTCCCACAGTACACAGTCACCAGGACGTCTGAGCACTTCAAGGGAATGATGGAAGCAAGCAATCCTTGCTTGGAAGCAGTGACATTCGAGATTTTTTTTCATGTGCATTGGTGTTTTGCCTGTATTTGTGTATATATGAGGGTGTCAGATTCCCCTGGAAATGGGGTTCTAGACAGTTGTAAGCCATCATGAGAATGCTGGGAATTGAACCTGAGTCCTTTAGTACTCTTAACCACTGAGCCATCTCCCCAGCCTCCGTCATTCAAGGTTTTAAAACTAGCGCAGGAGTCCTTAGCCAGTGCCAGGCACTGATGATAAACACTCCATATGTGAAACTGTTAAACAACCAGTAAGTTGAGCGCTATAGTATCCTCTTTAAAGATGAAGGACTAAGTCTTGGGGATGAACTGATTTATCCAAGTCATAGGGAAGAAAGAGGAAGGTGGGGCTAGCCAACCATGGTTTTAGGACCTGCCGCCTGCCTTGCAGCCCATCTGTCTAGCATCTTGTGACACAGTGACATCCAGTGCCTCCCTGGTCTCACTGGCACTGCCTGCAGCACTGCCTCTCTGAGCGGGCCTGTTTCTATAGTCTTCGCTCTGTGTCGCCTGCAGTTAGCAGCGTCTGCGGCTCCCCATCTTATCTCAGCCTTCTCCATCTTTCTCAGGCATGGCTTCTTGAGCTGTCATTTTCTAGATAAAATAGAGGGTCATGGAGAATGCAGTAACCATCCGTCAAGAGGTCCGGGGTCAGTATCTGACCCCCAGGTGACAGGGAGCCCCACCCCTCCTCAGCCTTGCTGTTCTGTTGCTTAGTGTACTGTCAGGGCTCTCTGTGTTGCACACACACACACACACACACAGGCGTGCACTCATCCCAAAGGTGACAACAAAAGGATGGGTCACTTGTACCTGTCTACATATCCTGGACTTAAGCCTCACCATTATCTGAGCAACAGCTTAACGGGTGACCCCTTGGTGACAGAGACAATTCTCATGGCCTAGACAGCAGACACACGTGTCCTGTCCCCACCAGGAATCTGGCCCCCAGCCAGGCTCTTACACCACAAGTTTTCCTCAAGGGTCTAATTCCTCCAGAAGTGAAGGCGGAAGTGTTTGGGGAGGGCTGGGTGGGAAGCTACCTACCCTATGCCTGTCCAGGTGTTTCAGAGAAGAGTTGCTTCTGCCTTAATTATCTCAAGACTATTTATTTGCAGGTTCCTCTGAAGATGTACCCATGGAACCAAGCCTATAGAAAGTTCTGGATAAAGCTGGCAGTGTGTGCAGGCCACGGTTCCCTCTGAGAGAGGGTAGAGGACTGGCTGGATTGCGGGTGGGGTGCAGGGACCTGGATCTGGAGATCCAGAGAGAAGTGTTTCTTCTATGTACGTTATGTCCCACAACTTCAGAAGAGAAGTACAGTGCAAGGACAATGTCCTGGATCTCCTCGTTCCTGCCAGCCTCTAAAGGCCTTTCCAGCCCCAGGGCTCTCTTGGGGCCTATGGGGGGATGAGCCAAGCAGCACAGCTCCTCCTGTCCAGTGGAAAAACACTGTATCCTGCCGCCCAGCTTTGTCGGACTGACTGAGGCGAGGCAGCTGCCAACCCGATGGGCTGAGCCGTAATGAGGCCAGACAGCCATACAGAAAACACACGGCCTTGCCAAGAGGCATTGATTTCTGCCTGGCTTCCCTGAAAGAGCTGCCCACCCTCAGCTCTGCTCTCTTAGAACTCTGTCCCTTTCTCTGCATTCTTTAGACCCACTCTGCAAGAATCCAGCCCGGGAGGTCTGCACGTGTGGAAGATCCCTGGGCTGCCAGAGCATCCTGAGATGCATCACAATCCCAAGGCCAACAGGGGAGCGTGTCTTCATCCCTGCCCCAACCTTACTCTTTGAAGCTGGGCAATTTTAGAATGAAAAGGGATCTAGCATGCACAGCCCAGGAGGACCATCTAAAACAGACATAATGCATCACACACACACACACACACACACACACACACACACACGGGCACCCCAAATGCAGCATAGTGGTCTGCACTAATTTTACTAAACCAGGGCAAGGGAGGCTCTGTTGAGAAGTTCTTGGTAAACAGAGAGCCGAAAGGGTCTTGGAGCATTCATTGGCTCTTTCAAACACCAACAGCCTCAGGTCCCTCTACCATCTCTGGTCCCCACTGCTTCTAGAGTGCAACAATAGGCTATGACAGACAAGATGTCACAGGCTGGTCTTGGCTCAGCAATGGTACTAACTGTGACCCTGATCCATCTGTGGGCCTCAGTTTCCCCATCTGTACCGTAATGGGCTGAGTTCAATGGGCCTACTCACTTGCATGGTTCTGGAAGGTTTTTCAAAAGTCTCTGCATTTTCTCAAGGCATACAAACAGAGAAGGAGATGTGAGCTCCCCGTCACCACGCTTAATCAGGTCCGGCCCAGCTGCTGTGTTCTCTGCAGCATCGGCCCTAGCACTGACTCTCCCTCCCTAAGGGCACATGGCACCCACTGCACAAGGATACGTACTGTAGCCCTCAACCTGCACAACACTAGCAAGGCAGGGACGCAAACTGTAAACGGTGCTCCTCCTTTCCTCCTGTCCCAGAACAGCTGCTGGCTCTGTCCTTGGGTCATCATCGGCCTAAGCTGTGTCCCCAAGGCTCTCCTCCCCTTCCCTAACTGTCTGCCTAAGGCAGCTGGCACTTCTTTGGTGAGAGACTGCAAAGTACAACAGTTCCCTTACCTATAGCCCTCTGACCAGGAACAGCCCCTGCTGGTCATCTGGGAGGGCCTTAGGGATTCTCCCAACTCATCCCTCCACCATTTCTCCTTAAGTTTCCTTGACTTCACAGAGCTGAGCCAAATGTCCCTGCTCCCCTCTCACTGAGCAGGAAGGAGCATCCTGGGCACTTAGCCTGAGGACCGTGGGGATGTGGGATGCAGAGGGATGATGAGCACCACCCAGAGCTACCTGACCCAGAGAAAGCGCTCTCATCTCATCTTCCACAGGCAGAGCCTACATACACAGTATCACACACATAACACAAACTACCTACAACATAACCTACTCTGAGAACACAGCACAACCCACACACATAACATCACCGACCCCACATATACACAGCACAGCTTCTCTCATGGAATGCAACCCACATTCAGTAATTCAAAACTGTAACGCTGCCCCACATACAACACAACGCTCCCCCATATGATAGAAGCCCCCAACACTACAACTCCCACACAGAACACAATCCTCATGTCACATACACCCCAATAGCAACTTCTGTCCTCGTCCCAGATGTGTACCCTTGGCCCCAGCAGCCAGCATGACCCAGGTTCCACATATAAATACAGTAGGCCTGCCCTCTGGGTTGTTGTCCGGATAAACCCACTCTCTTTCTCCAGGTCCCGCCCGGCACATAGGAGCTCTAGGCCGAGGCCACACTGCTGAGCAGGTAAAGCTGCCTGTGCAGCGGTGCATAGAGTAGGCCTAGACTACACTAAACAATGACAGGCCATGACTGGAGGTGGGGGAGAGTATCAATTTCCACCACGTGGCAGGGTTTTTCTTGTCTCCCTGGGCTCCAACCTGGTCCACCTCCTACCTTCAAAGCTCTGGCTTCCTTCTCCTGTGGACTACAAGAAACGAAGATGGCTTATGTTCTGGGGAGCATCCCATTCTGCAAAAGACTTCAATACAACCCAACAACTGGGAAACCATCTATGTATGAGTGTAGGGATCTAAAGAGGCCCTGAAGGAGCTTTGGGCTGCCATGAGTCATGAGACCACTCACAAGGGCCATGGTCACGGCTTACTCAAAGTGCCAATACTCCCAAGAATCCAGAGACCCTTCTGGTTGCCGGGCCTTACTCTATCCCTGGCCACCTCAGGCGACCTCTGTCCTTCTCTCTGCCCTAGGGCCTTTGCACATCTTGTTCTCTTTATGGAAATACGATTCTGGCTCCCCTCCCTGTTTGTCTGAACAACTCATTCATTCTTCATGCACTCATTCAACAAAAATCCTAAGAGCTCTACTGTGGACCAGGCACTGTGCCGGATTCTAGGAGCCAGCCTGTGGACCAGGCAGCTTAGGAAAGTCCCTGTTCTCATGGGGTGTGTGTTCTAGGGAGGAGGCAGATATAGACACCTAACTTCACCAATGAGGGAGGGCACAGTGAGAGGTAGAGTAATCAGAGGCAGGGCATGGGGGTCAGGGAAGCCCTTCACTCACAGCGTGTTGGGAGGGACCAGTAGACAAACCACTTGGGCACACAGGGAAAGAACTTGAGGGTATATGGCGAGAGGGAGGAAAACTTAGAGGGACAAAAGTTACGACATGGATATGTATGTGGGGGAATACGGAGCTTCCTTCCTTCTGCAGATGTCAGTAAGATTCAAATGTACCTGCAGTAAGCCTGCTCTCTCACCCTTGGCAACACGCATGACCTCATCACTACCTGTCTCTTTGTCTGGCTCTCCTGTTCAGTTCCAGCAGCCATGAAGGGAAGGGTACCACTCTCACAGCCCTATCTATCATTTATGCTCCAAGCTAAGAAGGGAACTAGGCAAGGGTCCTGCTGAGACTTGCAGGGGTCCCTAATTCGGCAGGAATTACACATCAGGAGTGTCAAGTGCAGAGAAAGTGCTGGCCTAACCAGAAATCAGTAGCAAATCTCAAACCTCTCGGTTGGGGCCTCTGCTTGGAGGAGGGAGAGAAAGCACTGGCTTCTCTCATTGCACAGAGGTGTCCTAGGAGTGTTGACTATGTGTAGATGAACAGGGGTGGCTAGGTGCAAACACTTGGTGTGTGAAACAGAAAGTACGTGGTCACAGCATGGGAAAAGTCACACACAGTGGGGTTGGCTGGAACGGGCAGTTCTGGATAAGAAGAGATAAGGAGGGAGGGCAGAAGCCTTGGGCCCAGTCAGAGGTTCAGCAGGTGCATGTGGGTATGCAAGGGGTCTGAGGAGGCAGGATATTTGCGAAGCTGTCTTTGGTCACTTGCCATGTGGAGCAAAATGTGACTCACTATCCTTGCCTGCTCCTAGAGCCAACAGTACCATGTCCATTTAACCAGGTCAGCAGGAGCCCTGCTACCTAGCTGCCTTCACCTTTGCCCTTCTTAACCTTCAGGGGATGGTGGGAAATGTTAGCGAACACCCACACTTGCTTATTTATTCTGGACACTCTAAAGAAGCTTTGGGAAGGGAAGATGAACACTGACTTACAGACTCGAGTTGGCTTTGTTATCGGTTTTGTTATCTCCTTCAAACAGGAGTTTCTGAAGCACACAGCCTTGAACAGCTGCCAGAACTCCACAGGGACCCCCCTGCAGAGAAAGACACATGTCACTACCAGTGAAAATGGGCCCAAGAAGCTGTTCATTCCACCCAGCAGCCTCTAGCCTCAGTCATAGGGGTCCTTGAGCAAGGTGACCTGTCTGTATCCAGACTCCTAGGCCTCACCCTGCTCCGAGGAAGAGGTCAGTTTTAGACCCTTCCTCATGGGATGACAGTGACTATTTACAAAGTCAGGTGTGAAGCGAGAGACATGGCCATGGGTGTTCCGTCACTCAGACAACTCCCACCACGTCCAAGGATTGCCAGAGCATTAGGTCAGTGTGTCCTTGAAGTTGTAGTAATAGAGAAGCTGGCTCGGCCACACTACAGAGGAGGCAGAATCTGACTGTAATCAGGGCCCTTTCTCCAACAACAGAGGCAGGGGAAGCTCCACGCCTGAGGAATGTGCCCAGTGGAGCTGTCCTGCAGCCTTTGGCCACAGAGTGGGAACATCTTCAGGCTTTTCTTGAGACTATCCTGCTGAGTAAGCCCAGAGCAGGTGCAGAACTTCCCACACTCACCTTTGGCTCTGTGACAACCACTGCACGCTCTTCCAAAACCGGTCATGGCCATGATGCCCTGGCATTGTTTGTAGTACTGAACTCCCCACTCCCATGCTCTGGACTCCATTTTTGAAAGTGACCCTCTCCAGCTCTAATACCTTCAAACACCCCAACTCCTCCCAAGGTTGAGCCTATGAAGGTTTTCAAAGCCTCCAAGCATGCTCAAGGCCACCTTCGGCTCCCTCGTGGTGACATCTCAGTGTCACAGGAAGTGAGTGTGACTAGAATGTCCCCAGCAAGGATCACAGAGGCTCTTCTTGCTCTAGCGTCCTCTTCTTAATTGCCTGTACCGTGTGGTAGGCCAGGTCACCCCACTGATGCTCTGAGAGGTCACCACGGGAATGATGTCCCTGCATTGTGCAGGATAACCCAGAAGAAAGGTCCCCAGAGACCCCAAGAGCAACCTGCCTTGTTCTGCACAATGCCGTATTTTAACGAGGCGATGTCATTGAAGGAAAAGTTCTGAAGTTTCCATTCTTCACTGAAGCAGCAAAAGGTAGAGCCGAACAGAAGGATCTTTATCTCCTGAGAGGGAAAAGCAGTTTATTGGCTGTTTATAAAATAAACAATCACAAGGCCGGCAGCACAGGCTCAGCAGGAGTTGGTCTTGGGTTCTAGAAGGAAGTGCATTTTCTGGCAGTGGTCTCTATTTTGCAAGCCCATTCTTCTCATATTTGAGGAAGATAAACCTGACCTTAAGGGTCTTACCTCTAGAACATCTATAAACCACACCAGCCCATGGTAACATGGGCCAAGAGTTTCCTTACACAGACCTTGAAATCTAAAACTTTGGCTTCACCGGGGATCCTCAGATCCTCCATCAGAAAGACTAAGTTTCCAACCTGACCTCACATTAAAATTATCTCTAGGAACACTTAAAAATAATCCTGATGAGTAGGCCACGGGCCAGGCCAATCAATCAATCCACATTCCTGAGGATGAGAGCTGGGTTTCCATAGTTTTGTTTGGTTTTTGTTGTTGTTTTGAGTGTTTATGTGAGTGTGTGTGTGTGTGAGAGTGTGTGTGTGAGTGTGTGTGAATGTGTGTGTGTGTGAGTGTATGTGAGTGTGTGTGTATGTGAGTATGTGTGTGTGAATGTGTGTGTGTGAGAGTGTGTGTGTGTGTGTGTGTGAAGAATGAAAGCCTTGGCATTCTGCCTTATTAGATTTTATTTCTATCATCAGATTTTAAACTGCCCCAAATGACTGAACTTTGCAGCAAGGTTTCAGAGCCACAGCTCTGGCACAAAGTTGGCAAACTATAGTCCATAAACTAAATCTGCCATCTACCTGGTTTCATAAGTATAGTTTTATTAGTGCATAACAATGAGCAATGTTTATATTTGTTTCTGGCTGCTTTCACATCACAACAGATATGAGTGATCGCAACAGAGACCACAGCCCCGAGCAAAGTCAAAAGCATATTATCTACTTTCTGAAAAAAAAGAAAAGAAAAAAAAAGAAAAGAGAAAAAAGAAAAGAAAAAAAAGAAAGAAAGAAAAAGAAAAGAAAAAGGAAGCCTCAAGAAGGCACTAGGACCAGCAAGCTGATCTCCAGCCCCTCCCTAGAGGCTGCTCTCAAGGTCAGACTCCCCCTGTGGACCTGAATCACTGTCCACTACAATTAATTCTTTAATCTCTTCCTTTAGGACAAGGAATCTCTATGACAGAAACATTTGTCTACATGTCACCATCAAATGTGGCTCACAGTACATTGAACAAATGAATTCATCCATCAGTGTTCGGTTCCCTTCCTGGGCCAAGTACAACCATGAGTTGCTTGGAGTGCATTTCCAACAACCTGAAAACTACAGATGTGGGTCTTCTGAGTAGACTCTGTTGCTATCCTCTTAGTCATAGGGACAGTTTTGGGATAGCAGTGTGTTTAACAACGACCCAGAAGCTGGAGCCCCGTCCTCTCCCATCTGTGAAACCCACTCCCTTTGATTGGTTTGGGACACCCTGCTGGGCAGGCTCTGGGTGCATCCAAGTGTTCAGCACCAAGTGGAAGAGCCGTGTACAGAGGACTGCAGCAGTGGCTGTGGACGGTCATAGCATGGGTGTCCAGCTTTGTGTTCTCTTTTATGTGCCTGGCCTTCTGTAGCTTCAAAAGCCAGACAGAGAGCATAGAGGAACAAAAAAGGGAAGGGGAAATACACCCTAAAAAAATCTTTACATCATGATCTAGTGCTAAGTAGACACAGGCCCATGGAACAAGGAGAAGTTGGCTGCATTTCTAGGAGCTTCAAGACTTTCTTCTGGATCCTGAATGGCTGGGGTAGGACAACAGGAACAGCACTCCATCTTGTAGGAGCCACTAGCCAAAGGAGGGGTAAGCCACCCTAGCAATTGACAGTCCTGAGACACACAGGGGCCTCTGCTAAGGAGGTCATAAGGCAAGGAACCTGTGTCCCGATGCCATGGGTCCATCCAGGAGGCCACACGTTTAAACATGGGTATGCTGAAGAACTGCCAGCCCTCCCTGTCCTAGCTCTGCAGCTGCCCAGAGCCTAGCGCATGAAGTCAGTGTAGGCACACAGCCAGTCTCACAGGATAACTACCTCATTAATGTCACACTGCTGCAGGTGGTTCAGCTCTGGGCCATCAAAGAACAGGGTCTTACAGCATCTAGAATAGGAAAACCCAACCCCAGCTCCACCCCTTTGTCTCAAGGAGGCAGAGGAACAGCCAGGACTAAAACAGTCTTCCTGACTCTAGGATCAGGTTCCTCATACATAACATCAAAGCTCCTACTTCGACAGTGGCCAGGAGGTTACAAGAAAAAACTACTGAGTCAGAAGTGTCAGGGATGTGTGACGTGGACTCCCTGAGCATCAGCATTGACACCTACCTTAGCCAGTGAGAGGTCAATTGGTTTTGACACAGTGTGAAGCTTGAGCATTGATGGAGGTGGGCACAAGATGATGTCTTCCTTGATCAGTTCATCCTCAACATCCTCTGGAAGAAAACAAGGCCATGGTGTGTCAAGGGAAATGGAACAGGAGTGAGTCACTTAGACCACCAACACACTGGGGAGTTTGGAGAAACTTGGTTAAGAGTCTCAGACTGGACACCAACCTCTCTCTGTCAAGCCCCAGGGCTCCCCAACTAGGAAAGAAAGCACAGAGGGGCCTGCTCCTGGACACCACCCCGCCTTCACTGTGCCACAGGTAGAAAGAGTGAATCAAACAAATGCCTTAGTGCCTACAGCCAGTGGTCCAGCCCCAGCCAGGCCCAGCCAGGCCCAGCCAGGCCCAGTGCTGACACATTCTTTAAAAAGGTGGGCAGGAGGCACAAGTCTGTCACCATAGGGACACATGATAAGAGGTCATCGTTAGAGGAGTCACGTTTGTGTAAACACAACAGTAAATTCTTACAATCATCACTATTATTTATTGAACATTTGATTTGAGCCACCTAACCCCAACTTGGCTTTTTGAGAGCTTGATTACGCCTGTTCTCACTTACTACAAGGGCATAAGGCCCAGGCAGTGATGTAGCTGTCCCACACTGGGCAGGGAGAAAGTAGCAGGACACCAGCCAAGCTGACTGGAAGCCAACTGGTACCCCAATTCCCCTAGACCTTCACTCAGAAGGGACTCCAGGACACCTCTTGGGTACATCCCCACACAGCTGGGATGATTGAGGCTGAAAGCAAACCCTGACAGAGTCTGCTGAGGTGGCAGCAGCAACCTGTGATACCTCAGCTACAAGACCGTCCGGCCTGCCCCCGTTCTGTAAAACATACACTAGAATGCTCAGATAAAGGATCCCAGGAGAAGGCACCCTGGGGTAAGCATGCTGGCAAAGCTGAGCACATACTCCCCAGACAAACTGCCAGAGTGGGCCTGGCATTGGGAGGAGGGCACATAGGGTAACCTCAGTGTCCAGGACAGCTACCCACTTGTATATCACTCAACAGCTTCCTCCTTACCCATTGGGGAGAACCAGTCAGCACACAGGAAAAACTCATCAACTGAATAAAAAGATAAGACATGAAAGTGAGAATATAGGCTGCTAGAAAGGGCTTCAGTGGCGGGGGGAGGGGGAGTTGTAGGGGGATGAGAGATGGCAAGTGGGGTAAAAATAACTAAAATTCATTCTGCACATGTATCAAACTGTCAAAGAATATTTTACTAAAGTTGAACTTTAAGTAAGAAGCTGGATTTAAATGAGACCTTTCTTAGTTTGAATCTCTGGAAACGTTACCCTGTGACCATAGCCTTACAAAAATAAACCAGAAATGGAAACCAGATGTTCACGCAGCAATGTGGATGGATTTTAGAGACGTGGTGCTGGGTAGGAAAAGGAAGAAATCAAATGAGATGGCAAATAAAGACACATGCATACCAAGCGATGCCCTGAGCTGTGCGGGAACAGATGCAGCTCATGCCTAAGACAGTGAGGGCTGAAGGGAAATGGGACAGAAAGGAAGGACAGCACACTGACAGGTAGACTTTGTAAGGATATGTGCTGAGAGCAGAGACACGTGACTAATCCCACCACGAGCATCAGAGGCTCCAGCCTACCAAGCAGAGCAACCTAAGTGACTCCACCAGCCCCAAAGGGCTCCTCGTAATGTTTGGGTCAGCCAGGGGGATAAAAAGGACAGTTTTTAAGCTCATTCGGAGAACTCTGTTTGGTATATCTGGTGGGAGTGGGGGAGGGGTCTGAGTCTGGGATAGTGGGTAAGTGGGCCCCATAACACATGTGGGGTGGGGGTGAGCTGAAGGGCAGGCAGTCTCCCTTGGCTTCTGCAGGGAGGACCTGGTCCAGCCCAGGGAGTTGGTTCAGGACCACATAGCAGGCCTCAGGGCCAGAAGTGGCGAGACCGCCATGCAAGGGAAAAACAAAGCACCGAGGAACATACTGGCCAAGACACCAAACTGTCTGCAAATGCCAGTGGTTGGAGAATGCTATTTTTAAGGCCATCACATGAATGTCTGGTTGAACAGAAGCTAGGGGCCTGTTTTCCCATTTCATATACCCTTTGAAAGAGAAAAGAAATATGTGGGGCCACAGGGGGTACATGGATGAAGAAAAAGAGAGAGAGAGAGAGAGGAAAGAGTCACATGTCCCTTCAAGTGGGATCCAAAGAGAGCAAAAGCCACAGTGCTGATGCTCTGAGATAGGGTCGCCCTGATTTTGAACACACTTTGTAACCCAGGATGGCCTTGAACTCATGGTAATTCTCTTGCCTAGACTGCCAAGAAGCTGGAATTACAGGTCTGCATCGCCAGGCCTGGTGTTATGAAATGTTCTATTAAACACTAAAGATGGGATGGGATGGGTCAGTGTTGGACAGAGAGGCCCAGAACTGATGAAGGTACCACTCTGTTCTCCAAGAGATCCAAGCCAGGTATAGAGACGCAGCACTTCAAACTCAGTGGTGAATACACTGGAGGAGGAGCCTGGGCGAAGATTCAGGAGCAGAGAGGGGTCAGGGAAGAAGCCTGTGATGAGGAGCCTGGGCAGATTCAGGAGCAGAGAGGGGTCGGGAAGCAGCCTGTGAGGGTGACATGTGAGCATGTCTTGACATACTCTGAGGGCTGACTAGGGACACAGGAGCCTCACCCTCTGCCCTGCCTCTCTTAAGAGTTCATCAGCTCCTCTCCCGGGGTTCCTACACTGAAATCTGTCCTACACTAAGTTTACACGGCCCAGTGTATAGCCCCGCTCTTCAGCAACTCCTGGTGCCCAGTGACATGTTCCAAACTTTAGCACAGCACTCAGAATCCTCTCTGCCTGCCTGCTCCAGCCCCGTTCTGACACCCACTTCCCTCAGGCCCTGCTCCTCTCAGTAGCTTCTCTCACTCTCATTCTTGCCTCTACTTGTGCAGTTCCTTCATATCTTCCTTGGGTGAGACCAGGCCCATCCTTCAAAGTCTAGCCTAAATGCCACTGTTACAGACCTTCCAGGGCCATCACAGAACTCTCCTGTATCTCTTGAAGTTCACACATTTCTATGGGAAGGCATCTCTCTCTTTTGTCCCATCCAGTTCTGCAGTCCAAGAATAAAAGAAGTCCTCCACTCAGGATGGTCTACCTTCAACAAAACCTTACCTATGCCTAGAGGGGGCTTCAAAGGCTCCTACCCCAGACCGAAAGGCTACAGAAGGGACCACTGATCCTCTCCCAGAATGTGCTACCTCTTCTGTACCCCATTTCTCCTGCTCCTCAAACTCTCTCTGCACTTTTCTTCCCTAACTCTGTTCTCATCTTCTATTTCCTTTTCCTTTTCCAAATCATCACCCAAGGTAGCAGCAGAAAGGGCCCCCTCCTTCCAGAAAGCATGTGCATATACTTCAAATGGCTTCTGGGAACTGTCAAAAAGCCTTCCTTCCGAGAGGGGTTCTGAAGACCGAGCACCGTATTGCTTTGTCTCCAAACATGAGTCACTTTCATCAGAAAAGCTTCAAGAGCTGCAAAGGCCAGAGGCTTTAGATGCCGGGGCTTCTTGACTCCATCCTTCAGTCCACACAGCCATGGACAGAAGCCTGCCCTTCCTGGGCAGGGCCACATCATCCCCACCAGGGGTTCCTGGTGATTTCTGAGGCTCTGGTACCTCTGAAGTGTGTTGTGCAGCAAAAATAAGCCTGCCTCTATGATCAGAGCCCGCCCTGTACTTTCAGCTAGATCAAAGCTCAGTCGGCTGCACGCCCAACACAGGCACTTCTAAGAGTACGGCTCTCCTCCTACAGCTTAAGAAGAAACGCTTTAAAGGGAAAAAGAAGTGAAGCAGGTGAATAGCTTCAGTGTACCAAACAAAGGCAAATAGGTAAAGGGGCTGGCTTCCAGGAGGAGAGGAGACTCAAGAGTACTCACGTCCGCCCTCTCAGGCCCAAACGGGCCCTGTCAGCCTCCACTCCAGAGACTACCAGACTCTACCTTCAAGGACTGCAGACAGGAACTGCTTCAAAGCAAACGTGGAAATAAATGTTCTGTCTTGCTCTCAGACTGCAGTGGCACCGACACAGCCACCGGGTGAGAGGCCCAGGTCTGAGGGCGGAGGCTGAGCCCCTCACCCTTCTTTATGCATTCTGTGTCTCAATCGTGCTCGTAAGCCTTTTATACCGACGTGCCAGCCCAGGCAGAGCTACCTCATATTTTGACCTGGGACTATTGTCCAGAAACATTGAAATGGTCCCAAAGAGCTCCTGCGTACAGCTGCGCAGTACAAATCCAGGGACAAGCAACCTAGTTTCCATTGGCTGGTCTGGTTTGGTTTGGTCAAACAATATAGTCTTTGTTTGGTTGGATGATTTGACTTGGTTTGGGAGATGGGGGCTAGCCATATGGTCCAGGCTGCCCTCTAACTTTGGATCCTCCTGCCGTAGCCTCCTGAGTGTTGGGGTTGCAAGCATGTGTGGCGCCATCTATGTATGTATCATATATATATATGTATATGATATTTGCTTGCTTACTGTGTTTTTGTTTTATTTTTCAGGACAAGGTTTCTTTGTGTAGCCCTTACTATCCTGGAACTCACTCTATAGACCAGGTTGGCCTCGAACTCACAGAGATCAGTCTGCCTCTACCTCTGGGATTAAAGGCATGCCACTACCACCCAGCTTCCAATCCTTCTTTTAAGAACTAGTCAGAAAAGAAAGGCAGGCAGCAGACGGAGACACTAAGGAGCCTCACTCACCTAGCTGCAGGGCATCTGGCTTATCACCCGTCCTGTCAGGCGCCAACTGATTCTTTCTGAAAGAAAAAGAAAAATGTCAGGAAGGAAGCTGCCAAAGGAACACAAACCGTACAGACAACCTCAAGGACCACTGACCCTGATACCCAGAGAATGCCTTGATCAGGCCACATGCCAGCAGAGCTCACTGATGTCACTGCAGCACACTGTGGGACGTGCAAAGGTCAACCTTATCACCAGTGTATCTGCCTCATCTCTCAGAGATTCAGACAGCTTGCTTGCTTTCTTTCTACCTTTCTTTCTTTCATTTTTCCTTCCTTCCTTCCTTCCTTTCTTCTCTCCCAGCTTCCATGTAAAAACCATGTGTGGCCATTTAAACAAGACTTCTGGGATGCACCGATGTATGTAAGGGAAAGTGGCCCTGTGCCTCTGACTTGTTACTCCTGAGTGTGCATTAGCGGCCCTGTGCCTCTGACTTGGTATTCCTGCGTGTCCATTAGCGGCCCTGTGCCTCTGACTTGGTATTCCTGTGTGTGCATTTGCATTCGGAGCCTTCTAGAGAGGCTCCGCCCACGTAGTAGCTCTGCTCAGATTTGTTTTCCTCCATCAGTCTGAACTAGAGGACACAGAACACATTGAAAGTAACACTCTTACCTCATCCTCCAAAAACTCATTTACTATGTTGGAAATGACAGTTCTTTTGAACATGGCATTGAAATATATTTTCCTCCACCGCCTTTGCACAGTAAGATATGACTGCAGTAACAATCATAGACTCGCCTCAGGGCCCTCCATTGAACTGGCTTCCTCCTGAAGATGTATGAAGGGCGTGTGTGAAAACCGTGCAGGACACGCAGTTCTCGGACCCTGGGCCTGTGCTCTGTGGGATTATCATTTTCTCTGTGGCTCCAGAATTCTGTCACATTCTCTCTCAAGCAGGTTGCTCCCCCCTGTGCCCGCCTCATTCAGCGAGGCCACTTTATTTCATTCAAACTCAAAGAATCTCGGAGCCCTGTGCCACCAAGATTTCACAGGAGGTTGTGGGGCATGGTGGCAGGATGCTCTGGGAAGCTGGGAAGAGGGGTCCATGGATGCAGAGCACCCCACCTCAACCATGAGCAATAAGTAAGCTACATTATCTAAAGCCTCTTCCCTCAGACTCTCCCCAGCTCATGCACTACCATCAAAAGCCTCTTCCCTTGGACTCTCCCCAGCTCATCTGCTCCACAGCAAAGGCTGAAGACTGGGTACTTTGATGGAAAAGACAGGGAACTCAGGAATAGGCAAGGAACATGGGGCTCAGGCACTTGCCCAAGATGATATCTGTGGTCCTTGTAAAACATATCAGGTAGGGACAGCAAGGACATCCCTCAAGCACTCCAAAGCCACCAAGGCCCTCTTAAACCTACTTGTCTCTGCTTCTTCCTCTCTCACAGAATCTCAGCAGCTTTCTAATGCTGTCCTGACACCTGGGTGCCGGTCTGCAGTCCCCACATCTTCCCATGACATGTGTACAAACTGATGTGATACTGTGCCCACTACACAGCTACCTCAGCAGTTTTCCATGGCTTGCATTAATCAAGAGGCAGCAGAGGAATCAAACTCAAACCACTACTCCAATGCTAACGGCAGTAGCCATCTCACCTAACCCGGCCTCAAGACTGCTCTGCAAGTCTCTACATGACCTGCCACCTGCCCGGTGGCATCTGCAGCTGAACCATCATACTCCACCTGCACTGCCCTGTGCTGAGAACTTCAGGATAAGCCATTGTGCCTTCCCACACATTCTGTCCTTTGCTCTGAACACTCTGACAGATTCCCATTGCCCTAAAGCCCAACTGCAATGCCCCCCACCTAAAGCAGGTACTCACACCCCAGCACTAATGAAGGGTTTTCTATCAGGTCTGTCTCCCACGCAACAAAAAGGCAAGATGGTGTGGCAGGCTAGCCCACAAAGATGTCCACATTCTAACTGCCAGAACCTCCAGCCATGATCTTACAACAAAAATCAGAATGTGAAGGATCTGAGACAGAAGGGTGAGCCTGGGTCTGGAGGTAGAAACAGTGCATGTGTCACAACCCAAAGGGGACCTAACCCAGCAGACACGGTGGGGGAGGGCACTGGAAGATCCAGACATGCCAGCTCCTTGGCATTAGGCCAGTGGAAATGATTTTGGACCTCAGCCTTCAGAACTGTGAGACATTACATTCGTGTTACTCAGTCAGAGTGGGAGACTTACTGTGGCACCAAGGAGGGGACCTGGACCACAGCATCCTCTTGTCTCACTGAGTGCTGGATGTCCAGCACTAGCTAGTGCTCCACAGAGGATGTGAAATGATTCAGTAACCCTTACAGAAACTAGGTGATTTACACAAGCCTGCATAATTTAGGCAACACAGGGACTCGAACTCAGGCCAGTGGTTTCAAATACTCCACTCTGTTCACTCCTTTAATTTGCACATGCTGCCCTTGCCGGACATTTCTATGACATCCTAGAAATGGTAGGACAGAGTCTCCAATGCTTCTGGTAGCTCCAGAGAGGGTGGGGACAGTATGTCTACCAGGCCAGGAACAGCAGGGCCTCTCCCCAGTCATGAGACTTCCACCCAGAGAGCTATCCATCAGCCAAAGGAGACGCTTAGAACTTTTGTGCCCGTGTCCCATAGATCTCCCACCAAAGGAGAGCCCGAGTGTGCTCACATGTGGAGAATGTGCTATTGTTCCTTTCATGTGTCCCTTTGTGGCATAAGTGCCATGGAGTTTAAAAGGCCAGTTTAAAAGAGTGTTCTTGCCTTTGAGTGAAAAGTACTAAAACAACCAAGACAAAACGATAAATCAAGGCTTCAAAATGCTGTCTCCAAGTAACACTGTACAGATAACCCAGAGGTGTATGCATCAAGGGCCAATGACAGACACGCATTTGTCATACCCAGATGACCTTCACCCCACTTCTGTGCCTTTATCACATTCCACAGGGTGAGCAAAGAGCCAAGGTCCTGTGTCCAGGAGTACAGGACCAGGACTTAGTACCTGGGTAACTGAATCCTTGTGTGGGTAGGAAGAGCCACTGAGAGGTTGGCCAAAGGTGTCCTGTAGAAATCCCTAAACAACCCAGGCTGCTGCCAAGACTGTAGGTTCCTCTCCACAGACTGACAGCAAGAGCTCATTGCTGAAGACAACACCTACACAACTCACTGAACACAGACAGGTCAAGATGGCGCCCACACTGAACCTTCGCCCCCATGTTCTAGTGTCTCTGGTATGGGCAAGTCCTCTGCAGGCTACCAAAAGAGAAACAAACACTAACCCAGCCAAAAAACCTTTGACCTACAATATGTCTTGTCTGCAAAATACGCTAGGGCAATTGGTGCAGGGGGAGTAGCCAACCAGTGTCTGATTTGGCTTAAGGTCCACTCCAGGAGATGGACCCATACCTGAAACACTGCTTGGGTGACCGAGATCTCTAGGTAGCCCAGAGACCTAGGAGAAAGTCAAATACAGTACTATTAGTCTAAAAGAAAACAAAACAAAAAAATTACAATAAAATGGCTCCTAATGACACTCTTCTGCTGTACTCATAGATTGGTGCCTTACTCAGCCATCGTCAGCAGAGACAGCTCTTCCTTCAGCGGATGGGAACAAATCATGCAGAGAGTCCTTGAAACACACTAAAGCTCTAAATGGGATGTCTCCACCAAACTCCTCTCCTCAGAGCTCAGAGAACGCAGTGGGAGAGGAGGCAGAAGGAGTGTAGGAGCCGGAGGGGATGGAGGACACCGGGAGAACACAGCCCTTTAAATCAACTGATCAAAGCTCCTATGTCCTCACAGAGACTGAAGGAGCAACACGGGGCCTGCGTGGGTCTGCAGCGGGGCCCGCGTGGGTCTGCAGCGGGGGCCCGCGTGGGTCTGCAGCGGGGCCCGCGTGGGTCTGCAGCGGGGCCTCTGTGTAGTAGACTCCTGAGCATGTGAGTGAGTCTGCCCTCTCTTGGGGCTCTTTTCCTTCCGTTGGCTTGCCTTGTCCAACTTCAATATTATTGTTTTGCAATATCTCACTATATTTTATTTATTATGTTTCTGATGTTATCTCTTAGGAGCCTGTTCTTTTCTAATGAGAGACAGAAAAGAAGTCGATCCAGATGGGATGGGAGGTGAGGAGGAACTGGGAGGGGCAGAGGGAAGGGAAACTGTAATCAGGATATACTGTATGAGAAAAGAATCTATTTTTAATAAAAGAATAGAAAAAAGAGAGAGGTGTCTCCTTCTCCTGTGTCCACCGCTGAACACTTGGCCAGATTAGTTATAGGTTCCATAAACGGCTAGAGAGAGCATTCATTGATTAATGTTAACTTCCCCGAGGTTGATAATGGTTTTGTGAATGGGAAGAAAATGTTCTTGTCCTTAGGAAATTTGAGCTGAATTCCATGATACCAAAAACTGAGATCAGTAAAACAGTATGTAAACACAAACGTGTACATTAGTAAGAAAACAGACACACAGAGCTTGGCAACTGCTGAATTTAGGTGACGGGGACACAGGTGGTCATTTACTATGCTTTCCATTTTACTGTAAGTTTGAGTTTTTTTATGCTAAGCGGGGGTGGGGGGGAGGGACACTTGGTAAGCTTGACCAGCAGACGGGAGCCAATGAGGAGACTGTCAGGAGCTATTAGTGGACAGTACCAGCTGTGACTCAGTCCAGAAAGAGAAGAAGAGAGGTCCTGGAGAGAAAGTTCCATGTCCCCTGAAAAGGAGTCTCCAAAGAGAAGAGAGAACAGAATGCAGAAGATACTAAGAAGGAAGTGGCTAAGAATTTCCAGCCTCAACAAGACATGTACACGTAAACACACGTCGAGATGTGTTGCGCTGAGCCGGTCAGAATGCCAGAGAGCAAGCAAGGCCTTAGAGCAAAGCTAGACTGCCTAGAGACAACTTGAACAAACGACTTCTCGATGGTAGCAATAAAGGTGGGAAGATACCTTCAGCGTGATCAGAAAAAACAACCACTGAATGGGAATTTTCCCGATAAAATTATCATTAAAGATAAGTCAAAGACAGTC